CAAGCTAGGTTAGGCTTGGTCCGAGCTTGGCCCAAGCTCGGACCAATGGTTAATCCCCACCTGGGAAACGGTCAGCAGGAAGCGTAAATGTGACCTGAAGGATGTGTCTGCTGACACAATGGCTAGACCGCCCGTGATGAAGAAACGACAGACGGAGCAATCAAAATTAGTGGGAACTTTCACGGACAAGCCTTTGTTACGTCCCGATACTTTGTCAGTAAATAAAGTACATACGAAACAAGTGACCACCGGTTTACAGTGGACTGAAGGAGGCGTGTTCACAACAGTAGTTCAGATAATTGCAACATTTCCCCGGACAGTGATCACGTTAACTCCTTCGGAATGGCATACCGTGGCAGCTTCTATACCACTTATGCTGGAGTATTTCTCTGAAGAATCTGAACCATCAGACAACGATGAAAAATTCGCATCGGTATACTGCGGAGCTGATAAAATTATCAGTTTTACACGTTCACATTCTGAGTATAAAGCGATCCTCATCTCTGACCGCGTGGCGAGAGCTGATATCTACATGTTGGATAGTACTGTACGGTCTCTGTCATGGCGTACAACATGGATTAAGCAACGTATAGAATATCTGAAAAATGTACCAGGAGACGGATATAAAAAAGGATTTTAATTTTTTGTGGTTAGAAACTCCAAAGTGTAATAGAGAAAAGTTCATACCACATGATTTCATGATAAAAATTATTTTCAAAAATTTTCAACAGTTGTTCGAAATGACCCGTAATAATCTTGTACTGAAAAATGTCGATATTGACAATCTTTTTAATTCCTTTGGCCAACTTGTTACATTATACACATTTGAGATTATTAAAGATGTACGTTTAGCAATTGATATTGAAAAAAAACGACTGAGGGCGGATTAACAAAAATCTGTAACTTTTGCGTTGTGAACTGAAAATAAATGGAAATGAAATATTGTACGTGTCACTCTCTACAGGTTATTCCCCCACCACTCCCTATAACTTGGCATATAATATTATACCCATTTGAATACTTTATCATTACACGGTAGAGTTTTGTGGGGAAATCATCATGGACATTGTTATCAATATCCAAGCTTTTCGTGGCAAAAATGGAAAGTTTTTACCAAAAGAAATTATAGTTGTTGATATTGAGGGTTTATTTCTCTCGCATTGGGTTTTAAATGCGCCTTACCCGTACTTGCACCTTTCTACCTGCTGGCGTGAGACAAACAATAGACTGACAACTAATCAGCATGGGATTGAGTGGCCTGATGGAGATGCTGAGATAACTGACGCTTTACGATACATCAGAGAACTGTCCAGAAATGTTCGACATATTTTCACGATTGGTGCTGAGGAGACTGCATATCGCCAGATTTTAGGTGCCCGAGAGATTATAAATTTAGATACGAAGGGCGAATTTAAAAACAATGCGTGCCTTTCAAATGAAACAACACCCGTGTGTTACCTTCATGTCATGAAAAACAAGATGGCTAATCGCAGACATATCTGTGCTTTACGCACAGTCTTGAATATGCGTCACAGTTTAATTCATAAAAAAGGGGAGAACAATGAAGCAAGTTGATATTCCAAATCCGAGACGGAGGACGAGGAGTTCAGTGAAGCTCAAGCTGTCGACACTAAGACTCCTATATGTAAAGGTATTTTCAATATTTTTTGAATTGCTTTACATACCCAATTAATAGAAACGTAATTGTGAATCTAGAGACCCAGAGTTAACTTTTAAAAGCCGACGGACGACAGCTCAAACCCCGAGTCTACCTGCGTTGGACTGGCTTTGTTTCAGGAATATTGACAACCAGTAAAAGGGCTTATTGTATTTTGCTCGCCTTTCTTGTCGAAATGGTATCCACACTACTTCGAGTGATTAAACTCCGAGATGGAAATGTAGAACGCGAAAGGAGCAGAATTGATAATGTACATGGAGATTCATGTTCTGTGGGCTGCATCAGTTTTATAACGATGAACATGCTCACATTCGTTTTACTGATTTTACATATGATAAAAATGAAGGAGATTCGTTCTTATGACTTTAATCGCACATGTACGAATGAAACGGTTAATAATACATTATTGTTTGAAAATGTAACGGAAATATGGAATAAAACACTGTAGAAAATTTAAAATGCATACATGTGTTCATTTATTTACAACCGCATTCCTAACACCGGAAGGCATGCCCCAGCAAATGTTTTTGATACCACTTGTGTTTACTTAAGATAAATAGTCTGATACGTGTTTCGGCAGTCTGCAGATTCCTTCCTTACCGACCTCAGCCCACTACCACCCACCGCCATCAATGATATTTCATTCTGATTTAACATTCGCTTGATTTTGCATTTATTTCTCTTTAATTAGGTGCGATCGTTAATTACCTTTTAATAAGGGACTTTTCATTGAGTTTTTTGAACGGGCATCGCCAATGAGGGTACAAAGTTAATTGTTTAACACCAACTTTGAAATTCTGGTATATTCCATTACGAAAGACAATTTAATTTTGGATTGGAAAACTTGTATTTTCTATTTCCTATTTTCGTTCTGTAATTTTAAGCAATTATTTTCCCATAATTTCAACTTGGTTGTTTTAAAAACTATCCATATAGAAGATGCATTTTAAAGTGATTGTAATTCCAATTATTTTTGATTTTTTTAAGAATACCTTCTGCTCATTATTATTGACAAAAAAGAAAAAAAAATTAAACGAAAACTAATTAGTCCCAAATTCTAATCATGTTCTCCTCAATTTCACCAATTTACTACCTAAATATTTACCAAGAAAAAATTTTGAAAAGTTAATTAAAGAACGATATTGCTGGCATGGTGCCAAACTGTGTGAGGGTACGTGTCTGCGCATGCGCCGATGTAAACACTACAGACGATTTTTTAATTTAATTAATATCTAATGAACAATCAGGTGTAGAAGGATGATACCAATTTATTTATTATCTACAAACGATTTGCTTTCCATTGGTTAATATTATTTCGGTCTACAAATAAAAATTAGTGGGGTGGGGTGCTAACTCCCGATCATTATTTTGTTTAATTAATTGAAAAATAATGAAGGGTCTACAAAATTTTTTAATGGTATTACAATGATGTACAAAGGTC